ACTGTCACAGATGGGCACAGTAATGGCGTTTCATGGGGTATGGTTCACGCTTATGGCTCTGTCTCTGCCTGCTCCCAGTTTAAGGACCTTGCTATACAGTTGGAGGACCTGGTGACCCATGCTCTGCGGAGGAGTCCCTCAGCTCAGTTTTGCCTCTGGCAGGGAGGATTATGGGTAAGAAAAACTCAGGAGGGACACTCTGGCACCATGGGATGCCATTTATCTGATGATGTGGGCTCTTCTCCCTCTCTCTCTCTCTCTCTTTCTCTCTTTCTCTCTCTATCTCTTTCTGCCTCTCCCATCTTCTTCTCCTCCCTCATCTCTACCTCTCACTTCCTCTGTCCTTGTATTTTCTCACCCTTCCGTCCCACTCACTCAGGCTCCTCTATGTCTCTCATTATCGGTCCTCTCTGCCTCTCAAAATTCAGGGTCCAAATTGAGTTTTATTGGCAATGTGCAGTATTGCTAGAACAGGGCAGTACATATGTGAGATATATTGTTCTATAAACAAAATCATTTACATACTGATAATGATTCAACAGTGAATAATCACAAGTAAAAAAGAAATACATTCAGAAAAAGAGGAAAGAATAACCAGCGAATAATCATAAGTAAAACAGAAATACACTTAGAAAAAGAGGAAAGAATAATTATATGTCAAGTAATAAGTAAAACTAATAACAACAATAACAATAATTTAGATAAACATAAAAAACCACGTGACATTGAAATGTTGGGAGTGGTACTTTGGGATGCCCCTAAGGCTATAGCAGCCAGACACACATTAAGCTGCCAGTTGGGAAGTTTGCTCTTCCTCACCAAAAAGAATGGAGATTTTGCTGTGGCCTGAGAGAAAGTTGCATTGGGCGCTTCTTTATTTATGTATACTCTGATCAGCATAACAGGAAATGCATTCTCTCTCCCTCCCCCTTTCTCTCTCCCCCTCTCACTCAGCGAGTGTACAGGTGCATTAAAGTGCCAGGTGTTTGCTCAGGTGATGAGGGGGGGTGATGCTTCACCAGTTCCTCTTGCTCTCTCACCTCCCGGTAATTGGCCACCTGTTCACCTCCTGGCTGCTTTGACTGGGCTGGCAGAGGGGGTTGCCAGGTTTGTTATGGCCTAATTAAAAACATAAAAGTGCCAGCATTTCCTCAAAGTCTTCCGCCTAATTAACACATTTGGGAAAGCTGTTACAATTAAGCAAGTGGAATTGGTGGATCAATTAATTGTTCCAGGACTTCTAACGTCAATTAATCAAAGAGCTAATTATACAAATCATAATCAATGAAATTAAATGCCATCTCTGTGTCTGTTTTTTAGAAGGGGGAAAAAATGAAGAAAAATAAGATGATGAAAAAAAAAAACAACCTTGTATCTTTCCTCAAGCACAAGCACACCCACGACAGCATGCTTTTTTGCAAAAGGCAGATCAGACAAAGGTCAAGTGGTGTGTTATGCAAATCATTGTTTAATTAAAATTAAAATCTCTAGCAAGCCTAAATGAGCAACGTGCTGAATCCAAATGACATGTATCTGTGCTGTACTGCTCACCTCGTTTACCCAGGTAGAAATCCAATCCACAGACGGCATCCTTCATAAGCAGATCAGAGGATGGATTTATCATAACCGGGGGTGGCAGTGTAGCATAGTGGTGAGATGCAGGCCTCGCAACTGAGAGACTGCAGGTTCAATCCCCTGCCGGGGTGCTGCTGTTGTATCCTTCGGTAAGGTGATAAACCTAGAATTACCTCAGTAAATATCCAGCCGTATAAATGGATAATATGTGAAGTTGTAACCTATGTAAGTCACTCTGGATAAGAGCATCTGCTAAATGACAGTAATGTAATGTAACCAGTAATGCCCAGGGGATGGCATTATAATATGCTTCTGAGTTGGTGAATTTGGTGAAATTGGGACACTTTCCTCTATGGCCGACAGAGATGCCCCCAATCTCTGCCATATCTCTGATATATGACGTCTCTCCCCCTCTCCTTTCTCTGTCACTCTTTCTCTTTCTCTCTCTCTGGCTTTCTCCTCTCTTTATTCATCTCTCTAATCCCCACAATTTTCACTTTTTCAAACTCCACTTTGCATTTCACTGTACACTTTTTCCAACGGGACTTTTTTTTTTAAAGGCTGCAGTCTGCTGTGAAATGGCTAATTAAACAGTTCTGGGCCATTACTGAGGACATGTCTGTGACTGGCTTTGTGACAGCGCACTGTTGTCTTAACAAGAGCCTGCCTAGTCTCCATGCATGGATCAATTTACTGGAGTTTTGCTTGACAGCTACAAGTTCTGTTTCTTTTTTTTCCCCCAGAATGCAGCAGCGATGTTAACAAAGTGCACTGCATTGTTACGATTTTCTCTGTGAGTCTTGGTTTCGGCTTCTTGTGCTGCAGCTCGGCTTTTTCATCGACTTGTGGAACCTCAGCAAACTTTTTTTATTGATACGCATGATTGATAGAAGAGGAAGGAAGTTCTAATCTCCGTTGTCTGGCAGGTGGCATTTCTCTTATCAGGAAAATGACTCACCACAAAGCAGTGCGCAGAAGTTTCCCTTTCCTCACCTGTATACCATTCCTCTTCTGTTATGAATTCACCTGGATAACTTTCCTCTTCTGTGATTTATATACCTGTATACCTTTCCTTTTCTTTTATTCATATAGCTGTATACGTTTCCTCTTCTGTTCTGGTCTCACCTGTATACCTACTTCTCTGTACTCTCATGCTGAAACCATTCCCATTCTCAATTAACACTTGTCTGTAACATTGACTTGCAGATCAATTCAAGTTTACCTTTATGTTAATACAAACACAGTTTTATTTTCATTAGTTTTCGTGACCACTGAAGTCACAGTTGGCTGTCATTTATACTTTACAGCTGAACCCCCCACTCTCAGACCTAATGCGTTTTGTCACCAGGGTGTAATTATTCCCATGGCCAGAAAGGGGGCATACAGTTTCTTGGGGCTGCAATATCTGTAGACTGTAGTTTCTGCCAGACAGTTGAAACTAATTGATTCAACCAATAAGACTGCCCCAATCTGCCCCATCCCAAACCCCCACAGATGCCTGACTCATTTAGCTCATATGAGTCAGTTATTGATAGCACTTTTTGAGTTCAGGAAGACTCACCTTATCACCTGTGGGTTCCTAGAGTGCAGGTGTCCTTCAAAATGCAGTCGAATGAAGTTAGGTTTTCCGTTTCACTACTAGTGCGGAAACCTCTTCCAGTTAGCATTCTGCAATCGTCATTTGCAATCTGCTGCAGGCCAGGATATTCTGAAGTTTACATCTCCTCTGCTGTATTAAAATGCGCTTGCCTTCTGGAAATGGCTGCGCTAATTTATAGCGTGCCCTTTCAAAGAATACCTTTTTATTTAATCTCTCACTCGCAGATTAGAGCCGCTCTGTCTTCGTCTCTGTGGAACCAGGAAATGACCCTTTGGGCTCTTAAAGTGCCCCGACATATTCGCCGCTTTGATTTATGGTAGAAATAACCTTTTTCCTTATTCATAAAATATGCTTTATCCACCCAGACAGCACCCCCAGGAGCATATTAATCTTGCTGTGGGAACATTTGGACAGTTCTCATCACATGCTGTTAACCTGCAGAAAAAGAGTTAAGTTGCTTTACAACTTTGAATGTGTCCCGTGCCCCCCCCCCATCAATGGAAATAGATGATCAGATCATCTGTGTTTTTGGGTCACAGTTTCAACTGCTTACTGTAGATAAAGTCTCCAGTAACACCCCAGTTCACGCTAACTGTTTTCAGAGGGTTTTGCCTGGCCTTCTCAAATAACGAAAGCCAAGCAGGCCTGGGAGAGCCAGGTTGTTGCAGGAATGATGTTGATGTGCTCAGCTTTCCACTGAACCAGTCTCATGAAGCAGTGATGGGGACACTGTGTGGTAGGAGGTGCAGTGATGTCTGTTGGTGAAGTCATGCCTTTCAGGGTGGCAGTGTAGCATAGTGGTAAGATGCAGGGCACGTAACCAAAAGGTTGCTGGTTTCCTGCTTGGGCACTGCTGCTGTAACCTTGGGCCAGGTACTTAACCCAGAATTACCTCAGTAAATATCCAGCTGTATAAATGGATAACGTAATAATTCTAACCTCTTTAGTGTCTGCTAAATGACAACAATATAATGTATGTTTGCATTTTTTGCCAGAGATAATTGTACTTCGTGTGCGGGTGGGAGGAGGGTGGGTGGTTCTTTGTATTACTTTGTGACTAAATGACAATAATGTAATGCAATGTAATGTTTGTATTCTTTCACCCTACACTCTACATGTGCCCACAGAATGCCAGAGTGGCAGGCAACTCCAGAGTTAGTGGTGCGTCGTACCCCTCCCCCAGGTCTGAGCCTGTGATGGGGGGGCAGGGGTGGCAGCGGGAGTGCGGGGATTATCGGGAGCTTGGCGGAGGTCACTCACTCCTCGCCTCTAAGCCTCCCTGCTGTTTGACTTTCCATCGCACGGCTAACAGATGCCACGCTAATAAAACAGCCGTAAGTGGCCCTGTCACTCTTTTTTTGAGGACACACCCCTTCGCGGCCCCCCTGTGAAAAACGCTTACCAACCTGTATGGTTTCCCCAGGAGCAGCGTTGCTTGCCTTTGTCACTTGTCACTCTTTGCTCGTCATTTGTCGCTCAGCCCCTCTGCTGATTCTGCGTACACAGGTCCACCTCACCTGTGTACCTGTCGGGGAGGTAATGCCACTTTGGTGACACGCAGGAATTCCGCAAGGGGGACGCAAAAAAACCCAACACCTACTGTGCTTGGTTAGCTCAGTATTGCCGATGTTAGAAATGGGAGAGTTTTCCATCAGACAGGGATTTTGACAGCATGCTGCATTTTGGTTGAGCTAATCAGCACTGAAGAAACATCTGAATGTAAGCTTTTTGTTTGTTCATTTGCTTGTAGCTTTTGCTTAATAGTTCAAAGGAAATTCTCTGAAGCTGCATCTTTTTCACGGTTATGTGTTTGTTTGTTGTCAGTAGCAATATGGTGTAGTGGTAGGATGAAGGGCTTGTAACCAAAAGGTTGCTGGTTCGTTTCCCAGATGGTGCACGGCAGCTGTGCCCTTGGGCAAGGTAGTCAAACCACAATTGCCTCAATAACATTTCCAGGTGTATAAATGGAAAACATGTAATAATTGCAACCTATGAAAGTTGCTCTGGAAATGAGGATCTGGAATCAGTGTGTGGATGTGATATGTAGAGGCTGAACTGGAGTCAGTTTGTGAATGTCATGTGTGGATGGTGACCTGGGATCAGTCTGTGACTGTCATGCGCAGAGGGTGAACTGGGATCAGTGAGTGGCACTGCCTTGGGCAGTCCTGACAATGGCAGCAGTGTGTTACTCACTGATAAGCAGCCAGCGCTGAGATCTGAAGCTTCCTCCATGACTGTGCTACTGTGGGTTTGGGCTCTCATTCCAAAAATGAGTGCCTCCCCCCCACGTTCCCACCACCCCATCCCAGATGAGCACCACCACGGGTTGAGACGGAAGATTAACCAGCAGGTTAAACAGGATCAACAGCAGCCTTCTCCAAAGACTGTTCATCCCCTGGTGGTTCCTGCTGTTTAAGCTGCTGTCCCTTTAGCAGGTGCGACACACAGACACAGAGCGATACTCCAATATGAATATTAATGCTCCACAATGTGACAATACGGCAGCTGTTTATTTTGGGCATGAAATATAGATGTGGGCTGTTCTTTCTGTGTCGTGTTGTATTTGTTGTCTGCTTTGTCAGCCCTCTCTAGGCTGGGGGGGAAGTGGTTGGGTCTGAGACAGAGCAGAACCACCGGTGGCACTATGTGTTTGGACAAGGTGTCAAGAGCAGGATTAATGCAGAAACCTGAGAAATTAGTACAAAAACTGCCTATTTTTGCCCCCCTGAAATGCAAACTCCAGCACATTGCTTATTGATGAAATCACTATGCACATTTTTTGTCAGCAAATGTCTTGGAGACACAGATCTGTCACCATTCTGCAAGATGTTTCCCTGGTTTGCAGCCGCTGTTATTTTTTCTAGAAATGAGCAGTGAATGCTCCTGATCTGGAATGACTTATTTTGTGTGGTTTGCTAGGTTTATATAGCGCCTTTCTTGGAACTGAGAGGCAGTTATAGGGAGTGGGGTGACTGGCAGGTGTGTAGCCCCCACCTGGGTGAAGTGAGGTGTGTCAGGCTTTCAGGTGGAAGGACCCAGGCACAGACCGGAATGCCAGACCAGGGGTTTATTTGACGACAAACCAAAAACAGTAGTAATAAAACAGGCCGAGTCAAAACCAGAAAATCCACAGGCAGAAATCCAAAAACACAAGGCAAGTTCAAAATCCAAAAAAAAAAAAAAATACAGACAGAAAGTCAAAAACCAGAGCAAGGAGATACAAACAGGTGGGAATGAAACAGACCAAATACACTGAGACGAACTGACAAAGAAACAAACATAGAGGGGTATATATACACAGGCTGGTGATGAGTTAACAAGGAACAGGTGCGCAGAATGGGCTTCAGGTGGTGGGGGTGGCAGAAGGGCAGATAAGTGGGACAGGAGGTGGGACGATGGGCTGTAAATAAAAACAAAAGCACATGCACGCAAAAAACAAAAGCCACACACACACCGACAGACAGGAAGACAGAAACACAATACAAGCAAGACATCAAGAGGTAGTACTGACAGAGGTGGTGTTAGAGAGAGCATGGTGTGTGTGTGTGTGTGTGTGTGTGTGTGTGTGTGTGTGTGTGTGTGTGTGTGTGTGTGTGTGTGTGTGTGTGTGGGGTGTGTCTGGGATGGGGGGGAGCCATGTCATTTGCTCAGTGATCTCAGTACTTTACAACTCAGTGATTTTGGCTCCCCCTACTGGTGCCTCTGAAGGCCCCTCTGTTTCTCAGCATCCTCCAAATCGGGCAGTCCTCCAGGGCTGGAGTGTCTGCCAGTTTTCCTTTTACTTTGTGGCTCTGTTATTTAATTGAATTCATCGATTGGACACAAAGTCCACTCGCCCGACGTTTCCAGATGCAAATCGTTTTCTCATTGAAAATTACCTCTGTAGTCCTGCTTCTTTTGTTCCTGATCAACACCCACTCAGGACTGCGGAAGAAATTTCAGAAACGCCCCTGTTTCATGTACAAACTACCTTACTTCCTCATTTATCATGAATTCCTTTGACCGTTAGCGTGTCTCGTAGACCGTTAACTGACCGTGACTATGGTAATGCATCATGATACAGCTTTTTATCCTGACTCCAGTTCCTCTGAGGTTCAGATTAGTGTTTTTGAACCTTTGAAGATTCCCTTTTTCAAAGTATTTTTTCACATATTTGATTTGGAAAGCACAGATTCTGTGTGAATGAATCCAAGAACCGTTTAGACTCCTCTTCAGGACATTTAACCGTGGCAACCCTCAATGACCTCGCAACTCTCTTACTTTCCTGTGGCAGTTGATTCCTTCCTAAACGTTGATTCATGCAGGTTTCTCTGGATTTCTCTGGAGTGAAAGTATGGCGGTGGAGTTTGAAGGGGTGTGTGAGGGCTCAGGTGATGTTAAATGGAAAAGTTTCCATTAGAGGCCCTGGGCAGGCGGGGAGGGGGAGGTGGAGGGCGGCGAGAAGTGCATTTACACTCAAAACCTGCATCAATTATGGAGGAGCGTAGAAAGTTTGGCCATGTGTGTCTGTTTCTCTCTCTTTTCCTCTTCCTCAGTCTCCTTCAGTCTCTTCTCTCCCTCTCCTCTTTCCCTCCCTCTTTCCCTCTCACTCTCCCTCTTCCTCTGTCTCCCTCAGTCTCTGTCTTTGTCCTTTTCTGCATTCCCCTTTCCCTCTCCTTTTCTCATTCCCTCCCTCTCTCCCGGTCCCTGTCTCTTTTCCTCGGTCTCTCTCTCCTCACCTGTTCCCTCTCTCCCCCTCTCGCTCTTCCTTCTCTCCCTCCCTCTCTCCCGGTCCCTGTCTCTTTTCCTTGGTCTTCTCTCTCCCCACCTTCCCTTCTCCCTCTTTTTCATCCTGCTCTCCCTTGCTCTCTCCTCCCTGTTTCTTTTTCTTGGTCACTCTCTCCTCAGCTGCTCCCTCTCTCCCTGTCTCTCTCTTCCTCCTCTCAGTGTCTCACACTCTACTCTGGTGGTGCTGTAGAGGGTTAGGTATAGTCTTATTGTTGGCCTCTTCAGTCCTGAGCTGTGAAACATGGGGTGGGTATCTGAGAAGTGGTCTGCATAGGAAGCATACTACAATATGCTACATATAGCGTGTTATATATGATAGCGTATTGTATAATAATGTATTGTATAATACTTTTATTACGTGTAAGTATTACATACTGTAAGTATAATATAAGTATTGTCTTGTATGCGGATGTCCACGTTATTGTTTTCACAATGTCTTAGTGTATTGCTTTATATTTTGGGGCTTCATGGACTCTGTATAAACAGCTCTGCTCATCACTGCAGAACCCGTAGAGCTGATCGGTTACAGGCTTGGCTTATGGCGCTGTGGCGTGCCTTCCAAATAAACGTTTGATGCTGTGAAACGGCGCAGGTCTAATTCGGGCTTAATCCGCTCCCGATCCCCACCGCTTTGTGTTTTCGGGGGGGAAGGGGGGTCGTGTCACCACATCTGCTCTTACTCTGATTATCTTCACAAAGCTGCTGCAGGAGATGAAACAGGGGTTGGGGGGCCTGGCATGTGTCGTGTGAGTGACTGGGGTAGTGATGTCTCCGCGTGCTGTTTCCGAGGTGATAATATACAGGGATTTTCCTGCTGGGAGATGAAACGTGGCCATGGGAGTCACGGAAGCCGGCTTTTGTCCTCGCAGATAGCGGGGTCGGGCTAATCGCCGTCTAACTGGCTGAGCGCTTTAATCTTGGCTGAATGGGGACCCCGGGAACGGAAGGGGTTTCTCTCGTTTCGACTGTGGATGACTGGTGTTTGGATGCAGAGATACGGACCCACCAGACGTCATTGTGATATGGAGTTTGTCAGATTTTTGTCACTGTTTTTTTTTTTTTCCTTGAACACCCTCTGTGTTTGTACCTGATCCTCTTCCTGTTGTTACGAGGCAGTGGCTGGGATGGGAATGCTAACATGCTAAGCTGCTGCCATATACTGTAAAGTCCAGAAACCTCTGAGGAGAAAAGCTAGTGGAAGACTAATCTCACATGCCTGGTGACTGTGGGTTGGGGTGGCTGCCGCAGTGCATGTTGGGTTACCGGTGGTCTGGTGGCTTGCTGCAGTCTGGGTGTGTGGCAGTACCCTGTTGAGGGAGACGGATGGGAGGATGTTGGAGGTTCTGGGCTCAGAGCTGGTTCTCCTGGTGTAAGCTTTCGCACGACAGTGACACGCATAGGCCACAGGGAGGTTGAAATCCACAGGCAAGGAACGAGGATCATAACTGTTGCCGGTGCTGAAGAAGAGGGTTACAGAGGTGAGGATGATGATGGTGATGATGATGAAAACAAACACAACGTATTTAATCACATATATTCTATATGCATTCAGCTGCAAAGGTGGATATTTACAAAGGCAATTCAGCTAGAGTATTTTGTTTGAGGTTCAGTGGCCCACCTGAGAATCCAACAGATTCTCCCACTCCTATTTATCTCTTAGTCAAACTTAAGGACAGGTTGGTTCCATCCAGGTGTCAGGTGACTCAATCAGGTGAACACTCTGGTGTGTGAAGCACTATCAATCCTATACCCTGAAAGAGTTTCAAGGAATTCCAAGGGCTCTTTCTGATGATGTCATTAAGTTCACCCGGCATTTCAACCCAATTAAGCGGTGCCATCTGTGTGTCTGTGCGTATCCCCACAGGCCATATCAGTCTGTATCAGTGCTATTAGTAATTATGTCACCTTCATGTGTACTGCTGTATGAAATATCAGTATTTCAGTATTTTAATGAACATTAGAAGTCCAAGCTTCATAAATTCAGATAGATTGGCAGATTCATCTGTACGGGCATCTGTTTCACACCTGTAGATTGCAGGTAGTTGTGATGAGCAGACTCCATTAACCCTTGTGGTAAAGTAACAGGTAGAACAGACTCACCTATTCCTGAGGTAGACCTGTCTGCAGGTGG